GCTACTGAAGTTGTTAAAGTGACTAAAACTATTGATCTTGAGGAAAATTCGAATAATGTTCAACTCTGTACAAGTTTTCATTCAGACATTATCGCCACCGAAAAGCCTATCGTTTTGTGTGACAAAACAGCTACAGTGGGAATTTCCTTAGATACCTCACCCGACCAGCCAAATACAGCATCAAAGTCTCGGGCTTCGACTCTGTTTACAGAACTCGCTTTACCCGAAGTCCTTCCACCTCTCAAGGTTATTCACAAAGGCATTGCTTTTATTGACTTGGGTAAGCTTTAACATTAACTTTTTATTGATCTTAAACTCATTCTGCTCTAATTATTTATAAAACTTTCTTGGGTTCGTTTTATAACTTAAAATATTATTTGTTGAATCTGCATTTAACCAGGATTACTAAAATATCTGATGATGCTCTGTTGATCCTACCTTTTAGAAGAAGATGATGAAGTTTTAGTTGACAAGCCCATGTCTGCCAAAGAAATCCTCCTTTCTCGTTTTGATAATCATCACAGAAATCACTTTATTCCTAGTTCAATTAAATTGCAGGCAAGTCATTTCATTTAAATATTCACTGTTATAGAAGTCGAAATTTTCAGCTCTTTGAACTCACGCTCTATTATTTAATTCATTTATCATAACTACTTAAGAAACTGACGTGCATTATAATGCACTTATTTATTCACTTCAGTCTTTGATTTTGTTTACAACTAAATAAACAAGAAGCTTAGATAAACCTTTTTAAATCGTGATATCTAGGCCATGAGGCCTACTTTTATGTAAAGTAGATATTTTCCCATTCGAATAGTCACTTATTACATTATATTTTATAGGTCGTGTTATGGCTTGCTAATTAAATTAATCACATTTTCTGTATCTGGTGACTAAGCTTGCCGAGACTTCGCAGTATCAAATCAGGCTGGCTATTTCTATCCTGTTATCAATAATCAAATTAAATGTTGTCCTTATCCTGCAACAACGCTTCTATTTTTGTTCTGTGGCTAAGAGTAAATTTATAACTGCTGCGATTAGTCGATAATGCACACTTCAAGTATCATCATATTAATTTATCTTGAGGCTTATCCCATTTGAAAATGCATTTTAATTCTCTTCTATTGGTTATCTTTAATTAAGGTATTAGTATTAGCGTTCATGAAAGACTTATTTCACTTATGGTTCCAGTTCACGAGCTTTCTTGACCTAATCTCGCTGAAATTTAAGCCTTATATGAGCAGGTCTCACTATATGTTATGATATGTTCTTTATTCTAGCTTTTTAAACCTTGTTTTTTTTAGAAGTGGGTTGATCCCGTTGTCGCAACTTGGCCTTGTTGTCAGGAGGACTTACTAGAACGCACCTTGTTCGATGCTGGGAATTATGCTAACTACTATGGCAGAGGACATCGGACAAGATGCGTTCTACTAAGTCGCCCTGATAACAAGGCCAAGTTGCGACAACGAGTTCAACCCACTTCTTGAATTTTATTACTTTTGACTACTTTCCCTCATCTAGTATTATTATTTATTTGTTCATCAGTTCAACATTAATATTTTTTTCGTGTGTTATTTGAAATTCATTTTCTCGTATCTCCAACTCATTTTAAACCCTTTAAATGTGCATTATGGCCTAACTACATTTCATATAAAGGCTATTATCAATCGCTCAAAGACTCATTTTGAGTCTCAGGAGTCACAGCCAAGTATATCGAACTCATCGCAAAGTAATGCAATGGGCAGACAGGAATGGCTGCTTCATCGCCAACAATTGGAGGCAGAGATGCGTGAAAAACGACTCAAGCAATACGCTGAGCGTCTTGACGAGGCAGGACAGAACCCCGATCTCGAAGAGATTGATGAAGAGGTGGAGATTCAAGGACGTGCTAAGGACAAGCAGGTTTGAGTGCGATATTGACTTAGTGAATCCTCAAACTAGTTATCCTTCATCTTTTTCATGTCCCGATAAGTCTTATAACTTTTCTTTTCTTTTTCATGTAATTTTAGACTGCCCTTAATAACTCCTTTAGGGCATTTTCCTATTTTCTAAATAAATTTATATAGTTTAATCGAAGGTATGAAGACCAAGATGATGTCTCTATTTTGATCACAGTTTCTTTTCTTTAAATACTGGTTTTACCTTGTTTTTAGAACCTAGGATAACGCAGCTTGTCTGGAGTCATCTGCTGTTGCGATTATCATATTTTCCTATGTTGGACCGTAAATTCGGTACATTCCCCGACTTCAGAAGATAAATGGGTAAGAGTCTGAGAATGTACCAAATTCATTGTCCGACATTGGAAAGTATACTGATAACTATATCACAGAACTCCAGACAAAGTGTGTCCACCTGTGTTGGAGTACCTTTCATTTCTCTGAAGAGGTGAATGAAAGAGATTCGTAAGTTGACTTAACCCGAAGCTATAAGAAGATTGCTTCGGAGTTGTGAATGTAGGCTTGTGCGCATAGGCCTTCCATCCACAGCTCTGCGACCCCGATGATTCTTTGCTGAGCCTTCGTCCGTCATGTGACGGACATCGTCAGAGCAGGACATCATGATTAACGTTAATTCATCAAAACACGAAGACAAGTTAAGCTATAAGAAATAAATAGGCTTGAAGCCGGCCACCTTTCTTATCTTCGTGTTTTGGTGAATTTCCTTTAAGCATGGCATAATGCTCTGACGTTGTCTGTCGAATGAAGGACGAAAGCTCGGCGAGGATTAATCGGGGTCGCGGAGCGGAGCGCCGAGGACACCTATTTGTATAACTCTACTATCACAGCTCCAAGAAAATCCCCCTACAGCTTCCGGTGAGGCCAACTTGCGAATCCCTTTCACTCTTCACTTCAAACGAAATTAAAGGTACTTCAACATCAACCTATTAAGGGCTTCTTCGAAATGTTCTGTAAATAAGGTCAAATCACCTATTAATCTCTATATTTTCCTGTAATCCTTAATCTAAATTAGCAACTAATTTTCATATGTATTTTCTCAAATCACCTAATTTTTGTATAAAGGCTATTTTGTAGTGGTTATTCTAGGTTTGCTATATTTGGATAAGCTCGTAAAAGCTTTAGCCCCTGAGTCATTATTTAGCTTTACCTGAATAGCTGTTCCACAAAGTGGTTATTTACAGATTAAACACAATTACAATATTTAGATAGTGCAGGATTGTAAAGCCCTCTTGAGTATCCAATACTTGCCAAGAGCTTTTAAAATTTATCTATTAGATTTGGTAATTTGCCATGTTTCTTCTCGTTCTTACACTAATGCCTTTTCACATGACTTAATGACTGGTATATTTATACTCACATTTATTTTTGTGTATTTAGTCAGGTGATTTGGATAAGGAATGGTCACCTGGTGGCAGTGACGAGGATAGTTTCTCGGAGGAGGAAAGTTCAGGATCTGAAGACACGTCGACTTCATATCATACGGATACCTGCGAAGATAGAAATGATGGCGATGAAGAGATGGATGGTGAGGAAGAAACTGATGAGGAAGTGGGGATTTCTCGTCTTAAACGTCCTAAAAAGTTGAATCCATTCGCTGATGATGAGGCTGAAGAAGATGATGCAGACATGGAAAGTGATGTAGAGCCGTCAGATAAACAAAACAAGCTAACAAAATCTAGAATTCCTTTGCTAACTCAAGAATCAAGGGACAAAACTTCAGTCGATGAATTTAAAGAAAATAATAATGAACCTGATTTGGGAGGACTGAATCAACTAGAGAGAGACAGCAATGTAGGAACCACTTCTTCCTGCTCTGATTGTGAATCTGCAGCAGAAGAAGACCGTCTTGATGGTCGTAAAAGACGGCCTAGTTGGTCTATGAACAGAATTAAGGACTCTGGTGATGTGGAAAAAAAAGCAAATGGATTGCAGGTGAGCTATTTCACTAACTTTGGTTAATCATTCCTGCTTCCTATTTGTCCACCTATTTATTTCACCAGGTTGTCCCATACTACTAGGACGCTATTAATCTTCTTAATAGGAGTTGTTTGACCTCTTTTTTCGAAACTTGATCGTATTTTGAGGGAGGCCCATATGAACGCATCTTGCCCTTCATATTCAGGATAATTTTTTGCGTATGAGTCTCCCTGATATAACCAATTTTCGAAACAAAGTCAAACCACTAAAAACTGTCCTAATTTCGAAGGTATGAAGACCAAGATGGTGTGGCCTTTTGTGTGATCGCAGTCTCTTTTTCGTTGTATAGAAGTTGTTTGACCTTGTTCTCGCAACATGGTCATATTGGTAGGAAGACTCAGAGGAAAGCACCTATTTCGGAGTCCATTGTCTGTATGATCATTTCCAAAGTTTAACCGTGGACGTGGTACATTCCAAAACGTTTCGCCGGCATCGTCAGTGATATCGCCATTTTTAGCACCATACAACTCGTCACAGTGAAGCCCATCCTTTGACCAAACGTGTGCTAAACAATTGTGATATCTCCCCTTCTGCCCTGAATTATTCGAGTTTCCGGTAGCATCCTATCATGCCTTCACTATTACACAAGAGACTAGGGCATAGTAAATCATAGACTTGGTATTAAGGATAGAAACAGGTTAGAGACGGCGGGGATCGGAGCTAGTAGGCTGACGGTAGGTCTGCTGTACCAGAGACGTGGTACATGTAGCAAAGGGGTGACCATGACACTTAGAGGCTTGCGCCTCGAATTAGTCACCCAGACGCAGAGGAGGGCGAATAACGCCTCGAGTAGAACAGATATGGTGGCAGGAGTCAAGTGAAATAGGTGAACAAAGGGTAGAGCAAACGGATTTTACGGAGCAAGAGAGAGAAGACTGGGAAGTAGGACTGCATAATAATAAAGCAGACTCTGATCAACATTCCCTGCACAATGATGAGAGATGGTGATAACGACAGTTAGAGTGTGAAGGTGTCATGTCGCTCAAAGGAGCACACCACACTATATCTAAATAGACACGGTAAAAATTCTAACAGTGAAGGCATGATAGGATGCTACCAGAAACTCGAATAATCCAGGGCAGAAGGGGAGATACCACAATTGTTTATCACACGTTTGGTCAAAGGATCGGCTTCATTTGTCTCTTTGACGAGTTTTATGGTGCTAAAAATGGCGATATTACTGACGATGCCGGCGAAACGCTTGGGAATGTACCACGTCCACGGTTAAACTTTGGAAATGATCATACAGACAGTGGACTCCGAAATAGGTGTGTTCCTCTAAGTCTTCCTACCTTAATTTCCTTTCACTTTTCAGCTAAAATTATGTTGATCATAAGCATTTAATATATAGTCGCTTGATGAAATGTCGAGTAGTGATTGCTAAGGAGATTTAAGCCTTTGAGGATAATCTTTAACAATGTAAATTGAATAAATTTCTGTATATAAGATAGTAATATGAGATGTATTAACCCGATTTCGTTTAAAGTGATGAAGGACTGGTAGTAGAATTTTACCACAATGATATGAGTAGAGCTGAATTTTCCATTCGATTTCAGATAGCCCTCCTTTCCCAAAAGTTGTTCTCATCCAGGCATCAATGGACTGCAGTTTCGACCTCGCATCGGTCTTATCAACACCCCCAGCGGGAGTCGAACCGTGACAGTGC